AAACAGAAAAATAAATAGAGCGAAACCTTCGTCGGTCTGAACAGACTCGACGTAGAGACCTCTGGAGGTGGGGCGACGATAACGATGAACTGAACGACAACGACGAGGCAGAGATCTGACGATGACGAGTGCGACGGTGTTGAACTGATAACGACGTAGCGACGAATTTGAACGACGAAGGTGGCGGCGATTCTGAGCAGCGACCAGAGTGACGTTGTCTCTAAGGACGATGAGACGATAGCGATGTGATGATTTGTGGTAAGCGGCTGTGGCAGTGATAGTATTGCTCTGGTGGGGAATTTTGCCAAACAATTGGTGTACATGAAGGCGGCAGTTGCTGGGAAAGGAGGCTCGGTGACGGTGGGAGTAAGGCGTCTGCTTGGGAGGAGATGATGGCGCTGGTGGTGCGGAGGTGGAGATCAGGGGCGAGCTGAGTGTGGATCTGGTGGTTGCAGGGAAGAGGAGGATTTGACTGATTGTTGACGTGGGGAAGACGAGTGAATGCTTGGTGATTGGAGGAAGAGGACACAGGGAACGACCTAGGGTTTCACCCCCGAGGCCTAGGTTTCACACCCAAGGCTTCACACCAGATTTTAGCTAATGCAATTTTTTATTTAATAATTTATTATTTTCCTTAGTTTCATACAACCTTATTTATAAAAAAAAACTACGTGCACACAACGTGCAATAAAAATAGAAACAAACAACAATCCTTCAAATCACTCAACTAAAATTAAACTAAATTTAAAAATATATCAACTAATCAAATATTGTCATTTCTTGTCCTCATTAGGTACTAAATCCTTTAACAAATCTCCTATAGAATGTAGCCAGAATGTAAAAGCTTCTGACTTGATCCATGTTCGTAGGAGTAGACCACTCTTTGATAGCAGGTCTGCTGTGACTCCTTCACTAAAGACTACAAAACCCAAGTAGTTGACTGATGTAGACATGAATTCACACTTTTTTAGATTAATATGTAACTTTTCCTTACGGAGGACGTTTAAAATTTGTATTAAGTGAAACATATGTTCCTTCCGAGTTTTACTAAAGATTAAAATATCATCAAAATATACAACAACGATCTTTCCTAGGAACGGACACAAAACTTGTGTTATTACCTCATAAAGGTGCTAGGTGCATTGGACAATCTAAGCGACATGACTAACCATTCAAACAACCTATCCTTAGTCTTGAACGTGATCTTCCACTCATCACCGACACGAATACGAATCTGATGACACCCACTCATAAGATCAATCTTAGAGAATATACTAGATCCTGCTATGACATCTAATAGGTCATCTAGCCTAGGAATAGGGAATCTATATTTAACGGTGATCTTATTGATCTCTCGAGTATTTACACACATATGCTAACTACTGTCTTTTCTTAGGGGTAAGCAAAGCAGGAACGACACATGGACTGAAGCTCCCCTAACAAAACCTTTTCGCAACAATTTATCTACCCGACGACGTAACTCGACATGCTCAGTAAGGTTCATCCTATAGTGTGGAAAATTCGGTAAGGTGGCTGCACTAGATCGATAACGTGTTGGATTTCTCGCATTGAAGGTGACTCATCAAGAAGTTTATCGGGCATAATATCCTTATAATCGGAAAGGATTTGACTAACTTCGGGAGGGTGTTTTGGTGGTTCACTAATAGTGCTCTCACTAATGGTCACTATCACACACATAAAACCTTCTGGAGCGCTCTCCCTAATGAATTCCTTTCGCTGACTTTTCCTACGTGGGCTGCTGTCTTTAATGCCCTTAAGCTCTTAAGCTCTTTTGGTTTTGTCAGATTCAAGACTCCTTTTACCATTGAACGTGAAAACAAAATTATTTGACTTTCCGAAACTAATAACATCTCTATTGTATAACCAAGGTCGTCCAAATAAAACATGGGCGACATCCATAGGGAGGATATCACACGAAATGTGGTCTGAGTAGCTAAACAATTGAATAAGAACTAAACATCTCTGGGATATAGGTATAGTGGTTTTATCTACCCAGGTGACACTATAGGGCTGCGAATGTAGTTCTAGCTTTAGACTCATGTGTTTAAGTGCTGACTTGGCTATTACATTGACACAACTACCTCTATCTATTATAAGCTTATACATTTTCTCATTAACTTTAAAGTAAGTGTGAAAGATAGAGTTCCTACACTAATTATCTTCATTTCGTGTTGTTAACGTACACCTCATAACGCCTAAAGAGGTGACTAATAACTCATCGGCATCGCAATTCCATTATTAACCTCGTAAATGTCTTCTTCCTCATCTTCATCATCATCTTCTTCTTCTTGGCTACCTGAATTTAGGTGCAAATTACGACTGGGGCATTGGTATGCATAGTGTCTTATACCCACAATTAAAACATTGTTTGGGTTTCTCGTCTTTCTTTGTGGAGCTACCTACAGTGACCTTTCCCTTTTGATCTGTAGACGTGCTATTATAATTTAACTTATTGTCTATTTGTTTCTTAGACGACTCTCCTATTGCGGTAGAGAATTTCTTTGTGCTAGTTGTCTTGAGATATTGCTCGAAATCTTGAGCAACTTGATAGGTAATGTTCTAACGAGGTGGTTGTGTGAGGAATCATTTCTCGCTTGATGTCTGCACTAAGACCTATATGAAATCTAGACAAAGTAACACTAGGATCTTCTTGGATGTCACGATGAATCATTAATTCATCAAATTTGCTCATGTACTCTTGGACGGATAGACTACCTTGTTGTGAGCTGCTTAATTGATCTAACAATTGAGTCTTATAGGCGAAGGGTAAATATTTTTCTTTTAATCTTTCTTTCATCTTGTCCTAAAATTCTATAGGTGGGCGTCATAGGTGCTCTAGCTATCTTTTAACCGAGGTCCAATAAATTTTTGCTGGTCCAGACAATTTCTTTTTTGTGAAACTAACCCTATGATAATCAAACATGTTATACCAGTCAAAATAGTAGTCTATGTCTGCTGTCCAATTACTAGAAGCTTGAGGATCATGTCTCCCATCGTAGGAAGGGGTTTCCACTTTAACTCGCTTCGTTATATACATCTGGCCTATTTTTATCCTCTTGGCCTCCATCTAAATTCCATCTAGGAGGAGGAAGGCGAAGTCTATTATTTAGGTTCTGTGCTCTAGATATATCCCTATGATGTTCATCCCTATCCTGATTGTTACCTTTAACCGATCGGCTTCGAGTTTAGTGACTCGCGCATTAAAATCCTCTAAAGTTTTCGGGATCTAATCTAGAGTTTCATTTATATTTGGTTCAGCCATATAGATCGTACCGCGATGAAACTGCATACAATTAGCAACCTATAATAGAAAAGAATTGAAGAGAAAAAAATTAAACTAAACTACAAATTTTCTCTCTTTTTTTTATTTTTTTTTACCGAAACTAGAAATAAACTGTCCAAAAAAATCAAGTTCTCCTAAAAGCAAATTCGCCTAAATCAAGTTAACTAGAAATAAAGCCTTTTCTAAAATTGAAAGAACTAAAAATTTTCTTAATAAAATAAAATTGACTTACATCTTAGGTTGGGCTAGTGGAAGTGGCCTAGCTGCGTCTAAGATTTAGACTCTAGAGTTTGTGAAAACGTGGGTTATTACAAACATGCAGATAGTATAATCAAGATTAGCATCATTGATATGACACTCCTCACACTTTCATGATGACAATTTTCTTTTCTTGGTTGCTAATAATATTTTTTTTACTTCTTAAAACCTAGACTTTGATATCAATTTGATGTAATACGATCTATCAAGTTCTAGGAAAAGTGATTAAACAAACTAATATGCAAAGTAAATGCAAACTCACACTAAAATTACAGCGAAAAATAACGTTAAATATCAAACTATAATAAACTAACAACTAATAGTAATAACTAATGCAAAAACTACAGCATATAAGAAATGTGTTCGCGATAAACCTGAGGCGTGAAATGTTGAGCATGTCCACAAATCCTAATTGAGTACTCAGCGTTTGAGTCGAATTCCTACTAGCTAGATCCTGCGAAAGGTTATCAAAATAAAAGTCTCAGTTCAATATAAGATCAATGATGTAACAGTTTTAATTAACCACAAAATATAAGCAATCTGATTAAATGGGAACAGGGGTTTGGATCTGAGTTTTGTAGTTCTTTGTCCCTGTGGAATTCTGTAGGGATCAGATGAGTGAAGGAGAGATTGCAACGTCGAGAACACTGGAGCTGGTTGCTATCAACGGTGAGGCTAAGGCTTCAGGTGCATGTTTTGGTCCAGTTTGACAGAGGCTATGGCGAGGGTTTAGATTCCTATGATGTGGGGAAGTGGAGAATAACGTGGGTGTGAGGATGAGGTCTGTTTTGAGGAGAACTATTGAGGAACTTGAATCAGATCAAAGGTCAGGAGTAATTTGGAAGAATAAGTTTAAAAGGCACAATTGGAATCACTCCAGAAATCTCTTTGATCAATAATTCTCATTCAAATTCATCGACGATTACATAAAAGTTCCTCTCTTTTATGGAGATTCAAATAAACAAAAGATAACTCAAATCTTATCTAAAAACGTGTAAATGCTTATCCCTGAACAAAACAAATCAAAATAATCTCAACCTTATCAGTAATCTTATTCTTATCCTAACAATAACCAAATAAAATCTGAATTATCTTAAACCAAATTAAATCTGAGATCTCAATGAGATCTACCATGCAAAGTCCCCTCTAGAATAAAATCGGGTATACTGATCCCTGCCAGTCTCTGTAGTATCTTCTAAGTCTTTCCAGCCATTATTAGCAATTTGTAGATTTCATAAATTTACATGTTTAAAAACATAGGAATAGCAGAGTCCGAAAAATGGGTACAGAAAAGAATAGAAGAATGAACTAAATATATTAGTGTTAGCGGTAACAGATTGCCATGGGAGTGTTATCTCTACATACAACCTAGTTTCCCTTATTTTGTCAATCCTCTTTTGTGTTTTAGCCTTCTTTAATAATCTTTGATAGTTTGCAGGTATGTGGAACCATTCGTAATTGTTGTTTTGAAGCTGATAACCAGCTGCCAAATTTGCTTTTGGTATCAGAGTTCCTTTGGCCAGCACTTCTTCTGCCTGTTGCCAGCAATAAGGTGAATTTTTTAGATTATCTTTTAAAATGTCTATATTGTTGCACATGGATTTAAAGGATTTAGATTTAGTCTTGTAGTAGTCTGGGATCATTAATGGGGCAACAAAAATAGGCATATGTAAAAGAAAATGGATGCAGGCAATTAAAAGAAGATATTATAGTTATTATTTTATGCAAGGGGATGGCTGAGCTGAAAGGAAGAAGAGGATTCATGTAGCCAGCTGGAAACTGGATAAAAGCTTACAAGCTTTGTTCTTGATTTACTACTAATGATATTGTTGTTGTTGTACGATACTAGTCACTATGCATGTGCAAGACATTAAATGATTCTAAACTTCTATTTACGGCAGATTAAACTTGTCAGTGCACTGTCCTAGTTAATGACACCATATCTGACCCTACAATAACAATGCCCCAATTCTTCTGTTGGAGTTGATTGGTATATTTATCACTGTCTTATCATCACATTTCCCAGTAACGCTTATGTTGACTAAGCTGTAAGCTGTAGAAACTAATTCATTAAATGATGGGGACGCATTACACCATGGTACATCTTGTTGTTCTAATATCTTTAACTGTGCCTACATAGATATAATATATTTTACTGTGTCTAGATAGATATGGATGTTCATTTAACAATTATTTCCTTTACTCTCTTCATGTTCTTCAAATTACATATCGTTCAAGTTTGAGTCACTCATTTCAGAAGCAGTACTGGTCCAGAATCATAATGGCTTACAAAAAAGTAGTAGTAGAGATATCACTCATACATATTCAAGGGAAGAGTTCTGTTATTATTCTTTTTTTTTTAATTTTTGTACCACTAATACATATTTATTCAAGGGAAGAGTTCTGTTAGTATTCTTTTTCCTTTCATACTTACTTTTTGTTCATGAATTGAAAACACTCGAGAGATTCCATATAAATACAGAAGTCCCTATTGAATGCATTGTAGAGTGAAGTTTTGAAACTTAAGTTGCAGTCTATCCGCATTAGCCATAGATATCTTAAGGATGCTTACCTTTCTCGTCTTATTCTCGGGTCTTAGTTGTAGATCACTGACTTCCTGCGTACGTCGTCAAGTTTTAAGTAGATTTCTAATATCTATTCTCATTTGTATTATTTGTTACTTCTCTCATAAACATTATGAATCCATATGTATGTACAGTTTACCAAAGAAAATTCTGTATAATATCATGTGTTTCAAATTTTATGTTTATAAGGTGATTTAGAAGGAAAAAAACAGTAGTAGAGAGGACTGTCTTTAAAGTAATATGTATTGGTTTCTGAATTTTAATTTTGGTTGTTAACATGCTTATAGCTCAAACCTCTCTGGCTCTTGACTTCTTGTCTTCATATATGGACATAGGTGACATGTCCTGCATCTACTTTGGAGATAATTCTTAATCAACCATTGTCTGTCTGTTTTCATCCTAGATACTTCAACTTTATCTGCGAGCTAGTGTTTGTTTCATCCGTAAGTCATTCATAAATGCATGCACATATGCATTTAGTGCAAACACTTTCTTAGTAGTTAGTAATATCTTGTGGTTTGTCTTTCGTCTTTTTTTCTTTCTCTGACATGATGAAATAACCACAGGTTTACAGTCAAGAGGATACCTCAAAAATGCCTCTTGAACTTGGGAACGCACTTTCGCATGACCGGGAATCGGTTGATGATCCAGAAATTCGGAAACAAGCGCTGGAAGCAATATACTTAATCTCTATGCAGGTTAAGTTTTTGATTTCATGCAAGCAATATACTTAATCTCTATGCAGGTTAAGTTTTTGATTTCATGCATTTTTCTGCACACATGCTCTAGAATGACCATTTTGCATTTCTTTTATGATAGTAAAATGTATATGTTGTTATAATGTGTATGTATACATAGTTTGGAACATATTATTGAGAACTTTTTTCTATTGTCAATAATTTGTTAATCCAGAGTTCCAGACAATTCCAGTTATATGTAGTGCTTAACTATTTTCTCCTGTTTTACTTCAAACTATATCCTGCTCACCAAACCCTCATATTCAGATTCATACTGTTATCTGCTTGTATATTCATATGATTGTAATACATTTTTACCATCTTAGTCAATATTCATCAGCTTATTCCTAATGTATGCAAGGCTCCTCTAATTTCTTAATCATAATTGTGCTTATAAGAACTGCATCATGTGCCCTATTGGCCTTCCTTTGACTTTTTGCTTCAATGGTTTGAACAAATATGAAAGTTTGATCCTACCCTAATTTAACCTTGGGAAGACCCTCATGGAGATAGAGGACTTGGACATTTAGAAAAGCATTTATGCTGCTTTTACCCTTGGCCCAAACATTTTGTCATATTTGCTGAGATTTACCCATTAGCCTCCTATCTTTGATATCCGTCTACTAGTCAACATTGATTATCATTAACTAATATAATGACATCAACAACAACTGCTGACCATGTGTATTCTTCCAATAACTGACCCGTCATTCCATGTACAAGATAAGGGATTCTCTCACTTAAAGTCTATTGCAAGTTTGCTTGCTCTTGCTATTTCTCCTGGATATTATTGCTGATTCTGTTTCGTACTGTTCAATGATATTCATCTCAACAATAGTTGTATATTTTTTGCGACATCTATTACTAAATTAATTTCTGATGATTGTATTCCATTTATTTGTTTTCTTTCCCAGTCGTTAGTAACCACATAAAATTATTTGTTATCTATCCAAATCTCTAGATTAGTTTTGCAACCAAGTAAGCTGTCTCCTTATATGTTCACACTTCACAATATGGAATATTGTGATCATTATCTTAAATGGCTTTAGTTTTTAGGGAAAATTGCATACGGCTCCTTACAGATAGGAATTTGAGCGTCCTCCTCCCTGATCTTTTTGGCGATGCTAAAACCCCGTTTGGCCCAAAAGAACCATGCTTCCATCTTCTGGTGCCCAGGTGAACTTTTAAAAATTCCCAAAGTAGCCTCCCTTGTCCCATGTGAACAATCCTTCTTTTTCCCCTCCCTTATTCCCCTCTATTATTTTTTCTCTCATCTCTTCCATGAACCCATGAACCCATGAATCCATAGACCCAAAACATCATAAGTCCATCCCTTTCCTCGACCATCGCCTTTTCCCTCTTCGCCATGTGGTACTCGGACATGAAAGAAGGCGGAGTTACGGCACAAATGGGGACACAGTGGGGGAATGAAGAAGACAACAAAGGGGTGTGGAGGAGAGATGGACGTTTAGGGGATAGGTAATGGTCGAGGAAGGAGGAGAAAAAGAAACTTGTACTTTTGCATTTTTATTCATTAAGTTGTTAGTAGAGGCAACGGGAGGGCGGAGGAGGACAGATGGATGGTGAGGGGGAGAGGTAGTAGTTGAGGAAGGAGGAGAAAAAGAGAGGTGTTTTTATGTTTTTATTCAAGAATCGTTATCATTGTTCATAAAGTTGTTACTTTTGTACATATTATGTTAGATTTGTTCATAAAATTGTCACATTGTTATAAAACTGCTACATTTATTCATTAATTTGTTACCTTTTACATTTGGACCGCTCTACATTATAATGTCACTTTTTGTTCAGAAATTGTTACCTTGGTTCATAATACCGCTACCTTTGTTGATTGATATGTTATTTTTTTATGTTTCGTGCAGAGTACACTATAAAATATCACTTTTGTTCATAAGTTGTTACGTTTGTTCATTAAATGTCACCTTTTAGTGAGTGGACGATGGGTGGGTATTTTAAATGGAGTGAAGTGGCAATGGAGAGAGATCACAACGGAGTAGGAAGAGAGTAGCAAAGCAAGGAGAAGGGGCAAAGAGGAGAGTCCATGGCGGAGGATGAGGATAGACAATGGAGAAGAGACTAGAGAGGAGTTAGGAGGAAGAGGGGCCACGGCGGAGAAGGATGGACGATTGAAAAGAAAGAAAAGAGGTGGGAGGGAGGAGGAGAGATCGCGGTGGAGGAGTGGGAGAAGAAAGAAAGGTTGGGGTTGGAGGAGAAGAGGGGGAGGGGTGATGGAGGAGAATAGAAAATATAGAAAAAGGAAGAGGCGAGGGAGATGGAGGAGGAGGAGGAGGAGGAAGAGAGAGGGGCGGTAAAGGAGAAGAGGTGGTGACGGAGAAGGAAGAGGAGAGGCGAAGGCAGAGGTAAAGACTACTGTGGAGGAGGAGAGAAGATGAGAGAAAAGGGAGAAATATGATAGAGATTGAAGATAAGGGCGAAAGGTATTGTGAGAAACATAAGTCTAGAGGGTTTTTTTTGCTTGCCCAAAAAGGTCAGGGAGGAGGATGCTCAGATTTTATTTGTAGGGAGCTAGATGTAACTTTTCCGAGTTTTTATCTAAATGAGCTAGCCCTCTAGTTACAAGTGGTTGATGTGTGCATATCAGTGGTTGTTGGTCTCGTTGAGCAATGGCAATTAGTTCATGCGTTGTAAATGCAATGAGCATGCCAGATTGATAATGGTGTGTGATTGCGAAATGTCAAGTGGCCATCCATATTCGTTGAATGTTCAACCATCTAATCAACTTTCAAGCTTGGGAAATAAATTTATTTTCTAGGATATGCCTCGTTGGTCCTATTCTGATTAGATAAAGTGGAAGAGGGAAATCAATGGATGTTGAATTACATTATTGTTTTCAATGTATTAATACAGATTTTTTTTCTCTTAGTTCATTTATATATTTTTATTTAACAAAGTGTTTTCCATCAATCCACTCGAGCAGAGGTATCATAAATTTTTGTCTTCTGTTTGTTTTTGGTTGCTAAGTTATGAATGGTCTTTGTAAAACTGAAGCCCATAGTCATGAATTTTAATTAGGACATAGTTTATGATAGTTGAAGGTTTAATAAGTTCCATAATGAACATTATGTTATGAAAGTACTGTGTTAAGCTCTTACTTCCATGTATATTATGTTTCCTAGGCTTCAGAAAATCATAAGAAATAGGCAAGAATAATGTTTTATTGGGTCGACAGCTAATTATAACTTTACGTGGCACGGTATTCATTTTCTTTTCTCACTTTAGAGAATGGATCAGCAGTTAATATGATGACAAAACAACTTAACAGCAAAACATCAAATAATCCGCAACTGAAGTTCCATTCAGTGTTATTTAAAACTTTATTGCTATTCTTGAATTCACCTCGCTGGTTTGAAACTTTAACGTGCCATTTGAATGAGGTTTTTTTAATCCTCTTTCAGGAAGCTGGACGAAGAGCTCTGTGGTCTGTGAATGGCCCACGGATTCTACAGGTTGGGTATGAAGATGAGGAAGATCCTAAAGTAATGGAAGCATATGAATTGGTTGGATCGTTGGTATTGCAGCCTATCCTTTAACCGCATTTATTAAATCTTCTTTTTTTATTCCCTATATTTTCTTTTGATTTTAAAGTTAATAGCACTTCAACTTCATATTGTGCAACCCTGAAGAGAAATATATTATTAATTATTAACTCGAAACCTAACAATTTAATAACAAAAAATGTCATAAGAAAGCCTCTTTGTCTTCTTAGTGGTGCCTTGACCCCAGTCAATTGGAAAAAAATGGAGGAAAAAACTGAAAAAGAGAAGACTTTAAATACGGCATCTTTCAGTTGGAATGACCATAGAAGTAGGATATTGAGGGGGGGGGGGGGGCGAAGAAAGTGGTTACTTTACGCTACAATAATTCACGAAATTAAGAGAAAACTGATGGCACAGATTTCTGTTGGTATTAGGATTTTGACTTTGAACTAGATTTTTTTTATTATAGTTTTATCTAAAATGTGAGTTGTTTATTAGATTTTAGTTGATTAGAATTTTACTGGACTTGGAAATCTTTCATTGTAGTATTATTAGGATTCTTTCTTATATCTAGAACTAGATGCATTAAGTAGAAGAGATGTTTATGGAAATTGTGATTTCTTTCCAGATAATAAGCAATTTTGCTAGTTTTGGATCGTGTGATGCGACCTTTGGTGTAAAAACTTCTTTGAGGTGTGAAATGTCAAATAACTGGGCAACTTCACTTTATTAAAAATTTTCACCTTCTCTCTCTAATTTCAAGTTACAAATCCTGAACCCTTAAATAATCTCAAACGGTATCAGATCTGTCCCTTATAAGAATGTTTTTACTATACTGGCTTAGTTTGAAGGCTAAGTAAGTTATCCTTCAAGTGTGTTGTGCTTAAATGGGACAAAGATGTTTTACTCCATCATGGTGATATTCTGATAATGAATAGAGGGCGATGCCTATTATTAATGAGCAGTGCTACTATTGGCCTGGGTAGTTCCAAACCTTCTACTACTGGCAGGTTACTGCTTGGCATTTATCCTTCAAAAACTTCTCGCTTTTGATGATTAACAGATTTCTCGTCTCCATTGAACATCTAAACCAATATTCTGATATCTTCATGTTTACATTTGGCTGTTGTCCCATTAGTGGTTGGTACATGTTACGTAGTCTAAACTGGCACCTAATAACAATGTACTGAAATTTATAACTTCGTCACATTCTCGATATGAGAGGATATCTGGTTTCTAGGGTGATAAAAATGGGATGCACACTGCGGGACATTCTTAAACTAATACTTAAATTTTGTTTACGTTGTAGCATTAATCAATCTGTAATTCTTTCCAAGCAAAACTAACAGCCAGTTTGAGTACCCAATAGTAGGCTAGGATTTTGACTAGATCCTATTCTTTTGACTCACAAGTTCAGTTTTCTTCCTTGTATTCCCATACACAGTTTATTTAATATACTCCATCAGTTTGATTATATTCATTGGATAGTGAACTTCTTAAAGATTTATTCACCGCAAAGGAAAATATATATGTAACTTGGACCTTTTAATTTGTTTGTTTTAACAGCTTGTCAATAATGCTGGAGCCGGTGAATCTTGAGTTCATATGTTAAAGATGGTAAAACGTTCAAATTTTGGTTCTTGCTGATTGGAGTACAGTCGTCAAGTGCAAGCAGAGACTGCAACAGGTTATTATTGTATGGAACCGCGAATTTTTTTCCCCCGTGAAACAGTTATTTTTTGTCTTGTCTCGTTATTTATAGGAAAGTGTATCAGTTACTGACACTGTAAAAGTTCAAAAGAATTTTACTATATTGTTTGAAGATAAATCATTAGAAACAGCTTTAATAAACATGAGCTTGAAGTTGAACAACTCTGCTTATTGTTATTATTAGCACAGAGGAAGATCAATTTAGCCGGAATCTGATTGGATCTTGAGCTAGACCAGAGTAGGCAGTATTGAAGAAAATGTTTCTTGTTTATTCCTCATCCTCTCGTCGTCATCCTGTTCATCTTCAGCATCTTCATCCTGCCATCAAAAACGAAAAGTAAGATTTCCGTTATCTAAACAATCCAGCACAGAAACTCACTTAAGTAGAAAATTTAGAATGCGTCGGCCTAGCGACTAGCAATTCAAAGTCTGGTTGCGAGGAAGTATTGTTGTGTATTGCAGGTAGAAGCAGTGGGTGATCGATAACCTCATGATAATAGTAGCCTAGGGATGACAAAATGGGCCCAAAACCAATTGCCCACTCATTCCCACTAGCTAAATGAACCATCTAAACCCATCCATTTAATTAAATGGGTCATAAATTGGTGGGTATAGTTTCTATTAAAGATAAATAAGTCATTAAAGGGCGGGTTATTACCCACCAATTTGTCTATTTAGATGGATATTGTTTTAAAAAGATCCTCAACGTTTTAACAATTACAAAACTTATTTTTAAAAATTAAAAATTATAGAAAACACTTAAAATGACTAACAACCCCTTAAAATTTTATGATTTGCAAAAAACACCCTCAAAGTTTAAAATATTATAAAACCGCCCTCAAGAGTTAAAAATTATTAAAAAAAACTATCAAAATTTTTTAACCTCACAGATGACACATGAAATTCAAAAATTACCAATAACCCCCTGAAATTTTATAATTTACAAAAAAATACCCTTAAAAGTTATAGAAAATGAGAAAAACAACATCAAGACTTTAAAATTACCAAACAATCTTAGAGTTTTCTAAACTTGCAAATGACACATGAAATCTAAAAAATTTCAATAGCTCCCTATAAATTTAAAATTTGTAATTAACACCCTCAAAGTTTTAATTTTTTAGAAAAACACCCTCCATAGTTTAGAATTACATTGTATCATTTTTTATTACATACGACCCAGTTCAATTGCATCCAATCTAGTTTCTCTCGACTTACTTGAGGTTTTTAGCTGTTGTTCCTTAAATCGTTCATATTCTGATACTAGTCCCTCAAATCTTTCAAATTGTTATTTAATCCCCCGGATAATATATCATGCTAAGCTGAGCATAATTATACATAATTGAGTTTCAAATTGTTATTTAATCCCCCGGATAATATATCATGCTAAGCTGAGCATAATTATACATAATTGAGAGACTCCCTTCAGTTGTCTCACTTATTCATTTAGACTCTGAATTATAAGAATACATATAATTGAGTCTATTAAGAATGAACCTACATTTGTAATAAGATTCTAAGATGATGGTGAAATATAAAACCAGTCAGTTTATTTTCAGTCACAATTCAGATAAACACATATTTAACAATTCTAAACAAAGTTTATTTTCAGTCACAATTCAGATAAACACATATTTAACAATTCTAAACAAAACATTAAACTAGACAGGTGAGAAAATTCTTGAAGATATATAGGTTTAGACGGTGCGAATACTGTGAATAGCCTCAGCACCAAGACGATGCATGCAATTGAGACAATAGTGGTCATGCAAGCCTCAAAGTTTTTAAAATTACCAAACAATCTTTGATTTTTTTATATTGCATTGTATCATTTTTTATGTGCTTTTGGGTATTTCACATGGTTTTTGAAGAAAATTAAATATCTTTGCTTTCTCACTCTTTGGTTAATGCTTCCGAATAAAACCCTATTTTTTGTGTTGTACCTGGAGTGCTCAAAAGGTGAGTTTGTTTCTCGTAATAAATAATGAATTCTCTGCACTGTTGGTCTCATAAAGTTATATGTTTATATTTTAATCTAGTTTGAGTAATTAGAACCAGTGTTATTTGCGATCAGTGAGTTGAGATATTGACGCACAAATTGAGTAATTAGAACCAGTGTTATTTGCGATCAGTGAGTTGAGATATTGACGCACAAAAGAGATTTTCCCAAATAGTCGATTCAATTATGTTATTTGCGATCAGTGAGTTGAGATATTGACGCACAAAAGAGATTTTCCCAAATAGTCGATTCAATTAAGAAAGAAATGTTTACAGAAACTCCCCTGAAAGTTTACAGAAAATCCCCTGAAAGTTTGCAGAAAACCCCTAAAAGTTTGCAGAAAACCCCTTAAAAGTTTACAGAAAACCCCTAAAAGTTTACAGAAAACCCCTAAAAGTTTGCAGAAAACCCCCTGAAAGTTTACAGAAAACCCCTAAAAGTTTGCAGAAAACCCCTTGAAGGTTTGTAGAAAACCCCCTCAAAGTTTGCAAAAAAAACCCCTAAAAGTTTGTAGAAACCCCCCTGAAAGTTTGTAAAAACCCCCTTGAAAGTTTGTCAAAACCCCCTAAAAGTTTGTCAAAACCCCCTGAAAGTTTGCAAGTAGCTCCCTGAAACTTACATATATATAGAAGCATCATAATCATAACTAAATGGAATATTTTCTTTGTAGTAAAAACGAAATTGGTAAAAAAACAGAAGAGACCATGGCTTCCCCTCCCCCCAAGTCCCAAACCTGAAGGTTCCTCGATCCCGCGCTGACCTCGACGCCGCGGCGAGGATGAAGGATCAAGAGTACAGGATCGTCGGATTCGTTCCCGGGATCCAGCATCCGGCAGCGGTCTTCTTCTTCTACGCATTCCTCTGCGTCTGTCGCGCCTTACACGGCCAGCAACTTCAGGCCCTGCGTCGATTACTCCTCCGCCCACCAATCCAGAGCCTCCAGCGGTGAACCGATCGCTACAGCGTCATCGTCCTCCGGCGCGACACCACTATACACCCACTACTCATACTGAGGACGACGACGGTGATCGGGGCGACGTAATTGTTTACGCCGGCCAAGGAGGGAGCGAAGGGAAGCGCGATCAGAAGCTCGAAGGAGGGAATCTTGCTCTTGAGAGGAGCTAGCTCTACCATTTCGAGATCAGGGTCATTCGAGGGCTGAGAGCTACGAGAGGGGATTTATGCCTTCTACGAGGGGCTGTACAACGTCGCAGAGCGAGGTGGGGGGAGTTAGGGTCCACGGTTTACAGGTTTAAACTCGCGAGGATCGAGGGGGCAAGAGATGTCGGGGAGTCTGGTAGAGTGAAGGGTTTACTTCGAGTCCTGACATTTACAAGGGGAAGGAGAGGCAGTCGGTGGTGGTTTTCAATGATATCGATGAGGATACGTACGTGCCCGCTGGAGTTCGGCTACTCAGCGAGGCCTGTGTTCAAGTCCATCACGACATTAGGGGGGGCAGTGGCAGCAAATTGTTAGGACAAATTCGGGGCCTAATAGAGTAGGATCACAGTAATAGTAGAGCAAAAGTAGAGATAAAAAGTTGGACACACAGATTTACGTGGTTCGGCACTTGATTGCCTACGTCCACGGGCAAGGATAGAAGAATCCACTATGAGGGGAAAACTCTAGAGTTACAATCTATCTTTACAAGGAGATATTCTCTCTCTATTTTTTTTCTCTTTCACTCTTCTATAAGAGAAGTTATTTCTGGGATGAGTTTTTTCTTAAGGATTTGGAGCATATTTATAGTGTTTGGAAAAAACACTATGCATAATAAAATATTAATATTACACTGTGCATCTTTTGAAATTTCCAAACTCGGTGCCTAACCCAGTGCATTTTTCAAAAGTGGGGCTCACTCTTTTGTTTTTGGTCAAAAACGTGGGCTGCTGGTTTCGGTGCCTGACAATCTCCCACTTGAAGATTTGATTGGGTATCAATCATATCTTCACATCATTCTTTCTATCTTGCCATCTTCATGTTGCTTTACGTCACTGACAGACCACAAGAGGATTGACACTAAATAAATTTATCGGTACTGACTGCTTTTGTTAAAAAAAATCTGTTAGGTTGTCTTCGGTGTGAATTTTCTACATATCCACAGTTCCTTCTTCCACTTTTTCACGAACGAAGTGATATTGAACTCAAATGTGTTTGGTCTTTGAATGAAAGGCTGAATTTCTTACCAAATGCAAAGCACTCTGACTGTCACAAAATAGAGAAATCTTCTTTTGTTCATGGCCGAGTTCCTCCAACACCAACTTCAACCACATCGCTTCTTTACTGGCTTGTGTAGCTGCTACATATTCTGCTTCTGTTATTGAAGTAGCCACAACTGACTGCAGTTTTGAAACCCAGCTTACAGCTCCGCCAGTGAGTGCAAACACATAGAGTGTGGTGGATTTGCTATTATCACGATCACCTGCATAATCAGAATCAACATATCCAATCTAGCACGATATCGCTCCACCTGATCATCGCCATTTCGCAGTGGCTGCAAATTGTTAGGACAAATCCGGGGCCTAATAGAGTAGGATCGCAGTAATAGTAGAGCAAAAATAGAGATAAAAGTTGGACACACAGATTTTCGTGGTTCGGCACTTGATTGCCTACGTCCACGGGCAAGGATAGAAGAATCCACTATGAGAAGAAAACTCTGGAGTTATAATCTCTCTTTACAAGGAGATATTCTCTCTCTATTTTTTTTCTCTATCACTCTTCTATAAGAGAAGTTATTTCTGGGATGAGTTTTTTCTTAAGGATTTGGAGCATATTTATAGTGTTTGGAAAAAACACTGCATAATAAAATATTAATATTACACTGTGCATCTTTTGAAATTTCCAAACTCGGTGCCTAACCCAGTGCATTTTTCAAAAGTGGGGCTCACTCGTTTGTTTTTGGTCAAAAACGTGGGCTGCTGGTTTCGGTGCCTGACAATCTCCCACTTGAAGATTTGATTGAGTATCAGTCATATCTTCACATCATTCTTTCTATCTTGTCATCTTCATGTTGCTTTACGTCTCTGACAGATCACAAGATGATCGACACCAAATAAATTTGTCAGTACTGATTGCTTTTGTTAAAAAAACCTGTTAGGTTGTCTTCGGTGTGAATTTTCTGCATATCCACTGTTCATTCTTCCACTTTTCCACGAACGAAGTGATA